TTAATATATTTAAATGTCACTCTCCCATAGGTACTTCCAGGGCCGAGGCAAGATATAGTCATCTTTTAATGCCTATCTCTTAATGCTGTGCAAGCACTTCATAAATGTTATAAAAGAGTTCTCGCAGTCACCAAATCAGGGAACAGAGCATAAAAAGAATACTCTCCTATGAAGATGGGTCATGAAGCATTTAAGCTTTTTTTTTTTTTTTTTTGAGACGGAGTCTTGCTCTGTCGCCCAGGGTGGAGTGCAGTGGCTGGATCTCAGCTCACTGCAAGCTCCGCCTCCTGGGTTTACGCCATTCTCCTGCCTCAGCCTCCTGAGTAGCTGGGACTACAGGCGCCCGCCACTACGCCCGGCTAGTTTTTTGTATTTTTAGTAGAGACGGGGTTTCACCGTGTTAGCCAGGATGGTCTCGATCTCCTGACCTCGTGATCCGCCCGTCTCGGCCTCCCAAAGTGCTGGGATTACAGGCTTGAGCCACCGCGCCCAGCCGCATTTAAGCTTTGACTATAAACAATGATTTTGTTCTGGGTGGGCGTGGTGGCTCATGTCTGTAATCCCAGCACTTTGGGAGGCTGAGGGGGGGTGGATCACTTGAAGTCAGGAGTTCGAGACCAGCCTGGTCAACATTGTTAAACTCTGTCTCTACTGAAGAAAAATACAAAAATTAGCTGGGCGTGGTGACAGGTGCCTGTAATCCCCTCTACCTGGGAGGCTGAGGAAGGAGAATTGCTTGAACCTAGGAGGCGGAGGTTACAGTGAGCAGAGACTGCAACACTGCACTCCAGCCTGGGCAAGAGTGAGATCAGGCCTCAAAAAAAAAGAGAAGGGAAGGGGAGGGCAGGAGAGGGGAAGGAAGCGGAGGGGAGGGGAAGAAAAGAAAAGGAAAGAAAAAAGAAAAGAAAAGAAAAATGATTTTCCAATAAAGATTAGAAAGGAGGTATGATATTTTTTCACCAACTGGTAGGATAACATTTTTAAATACTCCCGATGAGAAGTAGTCATGGCTGACACCTAAAAGGAAAAACTCAGGATTTGGAAAATAAATTTGTTAGTTAACTTGGAAAATCCTTTAACCAGTACACTAAATGAAAAACAATGATGTCTTAAATTAGCAAAATCCATTTGTATTCCTTGTTTAAAAGTTTAAAAATTTTAAACTGTTTAAAAATTTACTTGTTTAAAAGTTTAAAATTTTTAAACTTTTTAAAAATTTACTTACCCTAGAGTTTACATGAGATGCTTATAAATTCATCTTTGCTGTAGGTAAGTAATGAGAAGGTTTTAGAATTTTGTTTCTAGTCCTCCTTTCAAGTGTCCCATGTCTTTCTGTTTTATTCTTTTGAGTCACAGATTATCTCCAAATGTCAAATGTTCAAATTCATCCGTATTTGATATAAATTCTTGAAGATGTTGAAAAAGTAGGGAAAACAAAGTGAATATATCTTACGATTTCAGCCTAGGCAAATTCACATTTTGTTGGGGTGGGGGATTTAGTGTTACTCATTTACAGGAAAACAGAAAGATGGAGAAAAACGGTGTGGAAATAATAAAAATTTTAAAGGAAAACAATTTTCAGGGTAATACAAAGCAATCCTTAGGTACTTAAAAAATTATTCAAAGAAACTATTTGCTCCAAATGTAGTGATATCACTTCTTCAGTTCTTCAAACTTGAAGGTCTTTGATTAATAAGCATAAACTTCTGTGAAAACTTCATAAAATGAATTACTTTTTTGGACTAATAAAATAATTTTTTGTAGGCCCTTGGCTTTATTCTCCTTTGGGTTTGGGGAACTCAGTAAAGTATACATTACAAAGTCTGTGCAAGGAAGTAAGTACTAACGGAAGTGAATACTATTCCCTCATTACTGCACAGGCATAACTAAAGAATAAAAACTGTGTTTTCTGTAAAAAAAAGGGCTCTGAGAAAAGGAAATTCATAGTGAAAATTCCAAGATGTTCATGGTTAATGTTCACTCAGTAATGAAGTGCTATCACGTGGTACAGAGTTTTATTTTAGTGGCAGGAATTTTTGTAATTACGTAAATGACTTTACTCCTGTATTTGGTCTTTAAAAATTGAATATACAGACATATATTCTTTACAGAATTATGTAAGTAAAATTATAGCCTAATCACATTTAACAATTGAAATGATTTTTAACATCTGGATTATTAATATAAAATAATTTCCTGTATCTCATGTTTAGTTAAAACACTGTGTTATTTGAGGGTAAACATTTTTTTTGTTAATTTTCCCAAATCCCTTCCAGATGATACATCACACACTGGCTTTTCTGGCCACAGCACAATACTCACCTGATTATCTACAGAAAACAGTCTACAACTCTATAATTATTCCTGTGCCACCTTCCTGGTTCTAACTGAAAGTACAGACTATCAGACAGCCATAATTATGGTTGGAATAATTTCTCCTGTTACATTATTCTCACACTTGCCCACCCCAAAACTTGAACACTTTTCTGCCCATTGACATAATTTCAATACATCTTCCAATTGTAGTTTATTATTCATAACTCAGAAATATTCAACATTATTTGGAATAATATTTGGGAAAGACAGTATGCCTAATCACCTCCAGAATACTCACAAAAATTAAATAAGCTATCAACATTTTTTGAACTTTTCTTACAATGAAGATTGCTAAAAATTAAATAATGTTCCTATACTTTGGCCAGTTTAAAAATAAATCAGTTAGATTCCTTGTTGGAAAGTCTATATGCCAACACTTCAATTTTTACTGTACCTCTTCAACAAACAAAATAAACCCCATACTTGATGACAACCAACAATAACAAGCAGAAGAAAAGATATCTGGAAAGAAAGACAGTTTGTAACAGTGAACTTTTGAATGCAAAAAATTTCAGTGCAACATATTTTTGCACTATTAATACTATTGCAGTCATGTGCTGCATGACATTTCACTGATGGTCCCATAAAGTTATAATATTTTTACTGTACCCTTTCTATGTCTAGACATGTTTACATATGCAAATACCATTGCGTTACAACCGCCTATGGTATCCAGTACAGTAATATGCTATACAGGTTTGTAACCTAGGAGCAATAGGCCATACCATACAGGTATGTAGTAGGCCGTACCATGTAGATTTATGTAAGTACATGCATAACAACAAACTCACTCAACACACTTCTCAGAATGTATCTCTGTCATTACGTGATGCGTGACTGTGTATTTCATGTCTAATTCAAGCCAAATACAATTTTTTAATGTTGTATTTGTAATGTGAAATGAAGACGTGGTGGGGCACTGTGGCTCATGCCTGTAATCCTAGAACTTTGGGAGACTGAGGTAGGCAGATCACTTGAGCCCAGAAGTTCAACACCAGCCTGGGAAAAATGGTAAGACCCTGTCTCTACAAAAAAATTAAAAAATTACCCGGTGTGGTGGTGTGTGCCTGTAGTCCTAGCTACTTGGGAGGCTGAAGTGGGAGGATCACTTGAGCCTTGGAGGCAGAGGCTGCAGTAAGCCAAGATCACATCACTGCACTCCAGCCTGAGCAACAGAGTGAGATTCTGTCTCAAACAAAGAAAAAAGAAATGAAGTCTTGTTTACTTCATTGAGTAAATGTTTACTGAAAACTCACTATGTGCCAAGCATGTTCTCAGTATGGGGGATTCACAGGTGATAAAGACAAACATGGTTCCTACTTTTCCATTATTATGAAGACTAAATTTTTAAAAAATTTATATTGCAGATGTGATCAAATGAAATCTATGTTTTATCTTGAATCATTTACATTTAAAAATACTTAATCCTGCAATAAAATGTTAAAAAGTCACAGATGTTACAGAGTTAGGGTTGAAAATGAGCTCATCAATTCCAAGATGCACATTATTTTACATTTTGACATCTCTAAAATCAGTCACATCTTACAATGTGATCAGACTAGACAGCAATGGAGATGGAGTTGGCACTGCCTATATGTGCATCAAAACTTCAAAACTCAGAATGAGCACAAGGGGCTTGGAAGAAAATCCCAGGTTCAATGGTAAAGGCACCATTTTAAGGATTTTTTTTTTTTTTTTTTTGAGTAGAGATGAGATATTGCTATGCTGACTGACCAGGCTGGTCTCAAACTCCTGGCCTCAAGCAATCCTCCCATCTGGGCCTCCCAAAGTGGTGGGATTACAGGCATGAGGCACCACACCCAGCCTTAAGGATTTTTGATGATTCAAGGTTCAATAAAACATAACAGTTGAAAGTTTTCATTTATTATAGGTGAGGAAAATGAAATTTAGAGTGGTCACATGACTTGCCCTAATTCACAAAGCTGGAGAGGTAGAATAGAGTCCAGGTCGGTTTTCTTTTTTTTTTTTTTTTTTTTTTTTTTGAGACGGAGTCTTGCTCTGTAGCCCGGGCTGGAGTGCAGTGGCCGGATCTCAGCTCACTGCAAGCTCCGCCTCCCGGGTTCACGCCATTCTCCTGCCTCAGCCTCCCGAGTAGCTGGGACTACAGGCGCCCGCCACCTCGCCCGGCTAGTTTTTTGTATTTTTAGTAGAGACGGGGTTTCACCGTGTTAGCCAGGATGGTCTCGATCTCCTGACCTCGTGATCCGCCCGTCTCGGCCTCCCTAAGTGCTGGGATTACAGGCTTGAGCCACCGCGCCCGGCCGGTTTTCTACAGCCATTCACTCTTCTACCAGTGTACAGTTATATGGAGGAAAAGGGGTGTCATACAAAATAAGTAGGTAAGAAGATGGCTCTAGTTTTGTAACCATAAGCAAGGAACTTAATCCATCCTTGCCTCAGTTTCTCTGTCTATTGAAACAGGGATTTAAAAACCTAACTCACAGTACTGTTGTAAGCATTAAATAAAATATGTCTGGCAATTGTCACAAAGATTGGCATATGTTAAGTACTCCATAAATGTCAATTATTTCAGATCAGACTTTACATTTATTATACACTAAGTCAAGCCCACATACAGTTGTTTGTCTAAAGCACTAGAAAACTAAATAAACTGGTCAAATGTTTGAAGTGATAAATACAACGAAAATTTCCACCTTAACAATGTTTTGTCCAGGTACTGTGCCAAGAACCCAGGAGACCTACCTGCAAGAAACCAAACAAAAAGCAAGATTCCACGCTGGCATGATGATCAAATTACGTACTTCAATATGTGTGAATGCATTTATAAGCACAATCTCAATACATAAACAGGGAGCAAAATATTTAATGTATAAACAGATCATTTCTTTTTGCTTTATTTAAAATACTATATCAGAATCACCCGAGGAACTTGATAAAATTTTTTTTTAAAAACTATTATAACTACGTATATTAAGCCTGGTTAAAACCACAAGTTTTAGAGGTTTAAGCCTTACTAGGTCAGCTCTTCTAATTTTGAGAGTTTCAGTGAAAATCTAAATTATAACACAGTATGTGGAGTAAACTTGCTTTAAATATTAGCTTCTACATTGTTTCTATAAAAATAGTAATCTGTCTTTTAATATCAACTCATCACATATTAAATATTTCAGTTAAATCAAAATTTCAGTTGAAATCTTCAATCTAAAAAATACACAGTTAGGTGCTTAAAAAGTAATTTTAACCACTAGGAAATGTTAATGATTAACTCACATTTGTTTCTGTTTCACTCCATGACAAAACCTACAGGACACCCTGCAGAGAGGAAAACTCACATTAATATATCCAGAATTTTATTTTCAGAAGCTTCTGGTAATGAAAACTTTATTATGAGGTGTCTTCATGTTACCACCGCGCAGTAGCAAAGTTAAAATTAGTCTATTTTCTCATACTGTTTTTTTTCCTAATGCTTTTGCTACCATGTTATCTAAATTTAAACCTTAAAACGATCACATGACCCAATATGCGAACTCTGCCTATTAATTCTAAAACTTTTAATAACAGTTTGCTTATGTTTGAGACTTAAAAAAAAAAAACAACACAACATACTGCACTATGCCCATCCTAGATATTTTCTAGGATCAAAGTCTATCTGGAGGAGGGCAGGCTGTGGTTGAGGGTGGTTGGGTCAGCAGGGAAGAGCCTTATGGTCAGCTCTGAGCGCCTCCACGGTGAGAAGCACCTAGAATTAAGAGAGACCAGGCACCAAACGGTGGGGTAACTCAATGTTCCATTTAGAAGACTCCAGCCTCCGCCGCCCGTGACTCCTCGACGAGCCCCACCTCTCTAGGTTCCAACATCCGGCCCGCCCCTTCCTCCCAGGCTACCACGGTATGGCCCGCCGAGCTCCCGGGCCGCGGGAAGTGACGGAAACAAAAACTTGGTACACAAAGAAGGGCTGGGTCAGAAGTGAGGCCCCACCCTGCCAAGAAGGACGAGTTTTCTAGAAAAACTTAGCGGCAAGTTAACGGGAAGCGCGACGACAGAGTTCCTAGGATTGTGGGGGGCACCCTGCCGCCAGAAAATCTCATCCTTTTTCCTTTGAGAGGCCCCCTTGAAGCCGAAGGCTCTTAAGTGCCCCTGGGCGACCCTTAACCCGATCTCCATTTCGGGCCCTCACTGATGGCAGCCATGACAGTTGCATCGGAAATATGGAATAGCAGCGGTCAGAGTCTCCCGGAAGTGACGCAACGCGGAGGGATCCGCGTTCGGCCGAGGGAGACCGAAGTGAACTGGTTCCCGGAAGCGGCTGCAGCTGGGCAGCTGGTGGCGGGGCGGAGGAAGGGTGGGGAGAGAGGTTGTGGGTCTTACAACCAACCCCAACACGTTTTACGTGTCGGGCGGGCATTGTGCTGAACACCTCATTGGCAAGCCATTTAATCCCTTCCTTACTACAATCCCAGCAGTCAGGAATTTATTACTTCCATTTTACATATGGGGAAACTAAGGCTAAGAGAGGGCGAGTAAATTTGGCCGAGATCGTATAGCTGGTACTTGGTGGACGTGGTGTAACTCAGACACCACATTCTCTGTGGTGACTCCCTTTTGTAAAACCAGAGCTGCTGGCCCTTGGCATCCTGGTAAGCTCCTTTAAGTTAGGCACTCTGTTGCCCAGAGAGGGGCCAACCTGTAGCCAGTGTGCTGTTTATGGTGAACACAAGGCAGAACGGTGTGCCTGGGTCCCCGTGGCTGAACCTCAGATTTCACTTGGTCTCTGACACCTCACCTTTGCAGCACTCTCCCTGTCTTTGCAGCGCTGGTTACCTGAGGAAACTGTCAATGATTGCTAGGCTCTGGGGAGCATTTTAACTCTGATTAGGCCCTTTTAAATCCAGGACTAAGACAGTTGGAGGCCTCTATTATCAGATACTCTTGCTGGCCTTAACAGAGGGCCAAGGATCATAATCTTGGACTTTCCACCAGATCAAGTGTTTGTTTGAATTCTGTTTCTTTAGAATATGACTGAAAACCAATCTATTGTTTAATCTTCTTTCTGCGTTAACCAGTACTCAAAGTGTGAATAGCCACTAAGGCTATGTTTTTGTAAAAACAAATTATGCATAGAAAAAACACAGGAAATACATCAAAATTAACAGTGATAGTGTTTGAATAGTGGGTGATTTTTTTCTCTCTGCTTTCTCGGTTGCATATCTGCTATAATACCTTTTTAAAATAGAAAAATAAGCAAACTGGCTATGGGAAAAACATTTTTAATTGCCTGCCATTGTAATGAAGGCAAAGGCATGTTGTCATATTTTGACAAATGACCGTCCTTGATACAAATCCCATGGGGAAATCCTGTTTGACTAGAAAAGCATTGGATTTTTGTGAGTCGGTGTATTCTCAAAATTTTTGATGTTTTGTTTTGGTTCTATAATCCTCACAGGAAAAGTAAAAAGCAAATTGATGTTTTTCACACACTTTCATATGAGAATGTGCTACAACCAAAAGTCATATCTAAAACAAAGTTTCAGAGGGCATGGAAGGTGGGGCCTTTGGGTACTTAAAATGCTGGAGAACAAGTATAAAAAGCTATTTTTATTCTGGCTGCTTTGGGGTACAGTTTTAAGCAATTTATTTCAGACTGCCAAAGAAAGCTTCATTCTTTATGCACATACTCTGCTTCCCACTATTATTAGTGACTTCTAAAGCAGTGACAAAACAAGAAAAAGAAGATAGAAGGGAAAAATGAGAAGTGATCACGGGAAGAAGAAAATGTGGAGGAACAAAGACACATGGTGATATTGGGGTTGGAGTTACTTTGGAACTCCAGGGTGGCATGTAACAGCCTTCTTATCCAAGTCCTGGCACAGGCCTGGTTACCTACTAAAAGGTAAGTTAGCATCTATGATGTTCCCGCTCACATACTCAGCACCCACAGTGATAACTCTTACTAAAAATTCATCTTGATGCTCATTCAAATTAGACATATATTTTAACAAAAATGGAGTGGTTGAACAAAAAGAAATGTAAAGTAAAATCTCATCACTTTTCCTGTTTTTTTCTCTTACCATGTCATTCATTCATCCTGTGGTTAGTAGCATAACTATAAACTGGAAGTTTTGCCTGCATTATAAAGCAACAACTATGAAACACCAAAGTGAGGTGCTGACAAGATGCATATTTTCCAAAGAAATGTCTTTACGTTAGTCTGACTTTGATGAGAAGTTGTTGTGATGGGATTAAATGTGCAACAATTTTATTAGAAGAAACGCCTGTGAAAGAGAATGGGAGGGAGCCAAGCAAGGCTGGGAGAGGATGCAAGTCTGAAACTAAGTGAAGGAGAAAGGGAGAGAAGGGTGGTGGAAGTTTCCTAGACTGCCAAATAGTCTAAGCAAGATTTAGAAAGGCTATTGGAAATTCTCAAGCCAAAATCGCCTGCCGGAGGAGTCCTTCTTTCAGGAACCAGCCTGCATTATTATCTGTGCTGCTCTCAGTCACCAGCTGGAGCAACCCATGGATGAAAATGTGGCCAGGGAATTCACAGTGCAGCAAGCATCTGGGGCCCTTGATCGGTTTTGCTCCCTGTATTGGCAGCCACTGTCCAAGAACTGATTTTGCCAGTCTTGGAACCTTTCACCAGTTTCGTGGGTTAAAAGATGTTGAAAGAGATGAGTTTATGAGGTGAAGTTTTGGGGAGAGCCATTGTTATGCTTCCCCACTGACCTTCAAGTCTAGTGAAGGGGGCTTCAATAGCAATACTCAGAGAACTTGATATGCATTCCCTGGGTTTTGAGAGTTACAGTAGTATTGTGAGTCACATCTGGGAAACCGCAGGGGCAGGAGAGATGGACCAGTGAGAATTTTGGCATAGGAGTGAAGGAGAGTTGCTATGTTGGGATCGATAGTCACTGCCGTAGTTTGTCAAGGCAAATGATGCCTGAGTGTTTCTTGTGCAGCAGATGTAGGCCACATGAAAAAAAGAGGAAGTTTGCCTGAGACTTTTTTGACTCTTGTGTATGGAGAGAATCTGTATGGTATGGATTATTAGAGAAACCATAGCTGCAGATGGAGCAATAGCTGGAGGAATAGAATGCATTGCCTATCTAGGGTGACCAACTTGTCCAGTGTGCCTTGGACTTTCCCTGCTTTAGTACCAAAAGTCCCAAGTCTCAGGAATCCATGTTTGATCATGCTACATGTCATAGGAGTTGCAGCATCCAACAAACCTAAAAATCACCTGTGAGAGTGGGTCAAGTTTAAGTTTCAAGCAGGTCTAGAGTGTAAAACCAGTTTATGACCATGCCAGTGTTAAAGTAGATTTTATCAGAGGATAATTGGAAAATGATGCTAAAGGAAAAACTTCTTCACACTGTTTTTTTTGGGTCAGTCTTTTGACACAGCCAAAATACCATAGACTGAGTGGCTTACACGCAGAGATTTATTTTCTCATCGTTCTGGAAGTTCAAAGTCCAAAATCAAGGTTTTGACCAATTTGCTTTCTGGTGAGGGGCATTCTTCCTGGGTTGCAGCTGGCTGCCTTCTCACAATATCCTCATATAGCCTTTCCCGGGTACATACTCAAGGTGAGGAGGCATGGGAGAGAAACAGGGAGAACTTTCTGGTGTATCTTCTTATAAGACACTAATTCTGTCAGATCAGGAATCCACCCTTATGACCTCATTTCATCTTAATTACTTCCTTAGAGGCCCCATCTCCAAATATAGCCACAGTGGGGGTTAGGGCTTTAACATATGAATTTGAAGGGCACACAAACATTCAATCCATCACAGAGTGTGACTCTGCAACACAGAGATACCTTTTTGGGGGAAGGGGGATCATGAGAACATTAGGTCTGTGTTTATGTCTCACACTCTTAAGGAGGAGTTGTGCTATGGTGACTTTGCAGCCCTGTATCTTTATGAACAAATGTAAATATGATCTCTAGAGATCGTTTGTGACACTTTTAGAGCTTTTTAGACATTAATCTTGTCAAGGAAAGTTGGATACCCAGAGGACCCTGTTACTTTTTGCATTCTGCAAAGCAGAAGATCTCACACACTAATATTCACACTACTGAACTCATGAGGAAACCCACAACAGACTCTGTGTACATAGTGATCAGGACTTGGTCTAAGCCCTGGGGCTTGTATTTAGCTACAGGGACTTAGTAAACAGTGGAACTGTTCTGATAAGAGATATGGTTCTGCTTCTATTTATGAAATTTGATTTTTTAAAAAGTTAACACAGGATTGGTTAATCAGAGAGTATATCCTCTTACATCTTTCTTACAAATATGAACTCAAGTAGTTGTAGGACTCCAGCTTAAAAGGCCAGTATGTTAAGAATGAATTGCTGTTAAACAAAACAAAACAAAAGACAGACATAGATTTGAGCCTCCTTTAGCATCCACTTGATCCTTCCAGGAGGCATAGCTGTTTTTTAAATTCCTTAAGGGGTATAATAGTTGGAATTATGTTCAACTATGATGAAGTAATGTAAATTTCCAAAATAAATTTATTTAAACATGACATAAACTGATTTTTTTTATTTTAAGAAGTCTAGATGAAATCAATTTAGAGTTAGTACAGTTATTCATGGTGTGAGGATTCCGGGCTCCTACCTTGTTGCTCCACTATCTGTGGTGTCCATTTTCCAAGGTCATTTCATGATCTAAGATGGCTGGTAGAGCTGTAGCCATTCCAGTGAACAGGAAAGACTAGGGGATTCAAAGAAAAGCACAGTTGTTTCATTTAAGGATGGTTCCCAAATGTTACACACAAGCTTCTGCAAGACACGTGGAAAGGTAGTATTTTATTTTCTGGTAAGCCAGTGCCCAGCTGAAAAATTAGTTTTTATTACTCTATAACAAGGGTCAGCAAATGATGGCCAATTGGCCAGTTGCCTGTATTTGTAAATAAAATATTGGAACACAGTCATGCCCATTTTACCTGTCGTCCATGTCTACATGTTCTTTTAAACGATTTTATTGACATAATTCACATTATACAATTCACCCACTTAAAGTGTAAAATTCAGTGGCTATTAGCATTCACAGAATTATGCATCTATCACCACAATCAATTCTAAAACATTTCCATTGTCCTGAGAAATGCCACAACCTTTAGGTATCTCTCCAGTCCCCCATATCCACCACCCCAATCTTTCTGTCTCTATAGATTTGTCTACTTTGGACTTTTCATGTAAGTGGAATCATA